CGCTTGTTGGCCCTTTCGGCCTTGTGGTACATCGGGTCGGTGAGGGCTCGCATCGGTATTGGATAAGGGATATGCAAATCGCAGGCATTGGAGTGGGCGCGGGTGGGATTTCATTTCGGGGGGGGGGGGACTTTTGAGATAAGAGCATGCAGAAAGCTGGTCTGTTTAAAGGCAATCCTAAAAGTTACGAAAGCGGTCCCCTTGGTCGGATGGGCCAAGAGGGATGTTGGAGGATTGGCAACGACCCCGTTTCGATTCGCCAGGAATCAGATTGTTTTGCGGATCGAGTTGATTGCAATGCTTTTGCATGGGATATCCCCTCCAGTGTACATACCCACTTGCGCAGGGGGACTGACCCCATCCAGGTATGATGTCAATTCCTGACTCATCCAGGTATGATGTCAATCCCTGACTCAGGAAGTAGTGTGAGTACTCGCCGAACAGTTCGACATGTTGCTTCGGTTTTAACTGCTTCCGGGCATAAAGGACAAATCAACACGAGTCCAGGTCAAGGTGTTCCAAAGGAAGAAACAAGCAAAGAGCCGTTGCCATTCAGAAACGGGCTCTCTAGCTTCAGGGGCTTTCGAGATGACTCTCGTTGACGAAAGACGGTGGCATTCTATACCTGGAAATCAAATGGCTGTGGGTAAAAATTAAACAACCAGGGGACCGCAGATTTGAGTTCATATTTCCATTTACCAGGGTTGAATTTTGGGTACCCATTTCTGACCCGCAGCCAAATGGAGCAATCCCCCAACTTATGATCCGGGGGGGTGGCAAACGCCAGCTCTGCCCTAAACCAGATACTCGAGACTTGTTTGCATGTCAACCCTTAAAGCGAGGGGACCTTGGCCAAGCCTGGCTGTGTCTGTGAAAGACACTCTGAAACAACGCGGGTGTTTGGGCTGAAGCGTTAGCTCTGGATCCTCATTGCGCCAGTTTTTTTCTTTTTTCTTTTTTACAACACTCAGGCCTTCCCAGTGATCCCATCTCCCTGTAAAGTCCAAGGCAACCAAGGGACCCACCAAGTAAAGCTTGGAAGGAGCAGGGCTGGTTACCCAGACTTCCGATTGGACTGAGCTGCTTTTTTCGCAGGAAGAAGGCGGAGGCGGAGGAGGAGGAGGAGGCTTTGGGGCCCCGGGGCTCCCGGAGTGATTGGTCCCGGTTGCTGTTGGAGGATGCGACCATCCTATGAGTTTTTCCAGTTTTCCGTGGTGACTTGAATGATTTGGACGAAAGGGGTCCCGAACAGGCCGGTAATTGGCAGTTGATCTGGACTTTTTACAGGGCGGGGCCGCCCAAACGAGTGCTTGATCATTTGGTCCATTGCTCACATGTCGGCGGGGGCTGAAGGGACCCACGGACCCTGATAACCCCCGATGTTTATTGCTTCAACTCTGGGTGAATTGTAACGACCTCACGCGACCGAATTTACCCCAAATGGTGGTTTATGTGGGGAATATCCCTCCAACCACCTTACTTCAGGCTGGTGAATTATTATAATTCACCTAGAATCAACTGTAAAGCAAAGGTCAAGCAGCCCCTTGCATCCCATTGGGTCATGGGTTGCGGGCCCGCCCGAGTTTAGGTTTCCTGGCTCGGAATGGATCGTACCCGTAGTTATGTGGATGGCACTTTTTGCTTTTCTTCAGCTGGACTGATGCATCGTGGGCCACCAGCGGTTTCAACAATAGCCAACGAATATCAACGACTAGCCTCAACATACTCATGTCACTCGGCCGGGGCCATGCAATGAACGGGCCAAAAGGGTTCAAAGGGACCCTTAGTATTTTGAACCCCTGGAGACGGCCGGCGGCCTTGACAGGGCCAACGTTTGGGACGCCAGGCATGTTTCAGATGCTGGATGAGTGGAACGCTCCGCCATTCTTTGTGCTCAGCAAGCAGATCGATGGACTTCAGATGCTTATCTGCAACAAAGCCCAGTGCTGCGCTTGCCTTTGCCTGAAAGTTATCAGAGGACGGCGGCCAGGCCAACCAAGTGTTTCAAGTTCAATGCCCTTCGCTCACAGTCGCCCAACAACAAGCAACACCACACATAATGTGGATCTCATTTGGCCAGCCATGTGATTACAAGCTCCACTCCACACTCAACCCCTCTCAGACACAATACGTGTACTCGGTTGGGAAAGAACAATTCGCCTCTTGATCTTTCGGTTTTTCAGCTCTGGCGTCGCGGAGTTTCCAAAAGGTTATCACCTTTGCAACCGGGCCACCGGGTCTGTTGCAAGCAGTTTGAAGCATGGTTTAAACTTTAAACCATATGCTCATCTTGTGTCGCAAGGGAACCCGGGTCTGGTTGCTTTTTAATTGGCGTTGAGAGCCTGAAACCGAGTCCTATTGGGAAGTGCAGGTGGTTCTAGTATCTCCCTGTTGGTTGCATGCTTAGTAGTGTTTAGTTGGAAACCAAAAGGATACCTTCGGCATTTTAGGGGACTGATTCGGTTTGTAAGAACCCATAAACACTCTGTCAAGCCATGCTAGAACCGAATCCTTTGTCCATTTTCGGCCGTGGCCCTACTGCCTGGCTTTGCAGAGTGTATGGTATGGCCTATATGGCTGTGGGTCAAAACCAATTACCATGTTGGGGTAGGTGCACCACCCATTTTAGTCTATTTTAGTGGGGGGCTTGGGATGTTCACTGGGGGAAAACCGGGCTTTTGACCCATGGCCATATCTGATCATCATAGCCACCTTAGACAGTCAGCTTGGGTGTTGGCCGCTCATTGCAACCTCAGCGAGCGAAGCGCCTCCGAGGGAAAGATCCGAGCGAAGACCAGAGGACCGGAACGGCCGAAACGGGTCCGGAGACGGTTTGTCCAAATCGAGCACTGGCACTCTTCCATTCGCTTAAGAATATTTTAAATTGTCCCTTGTTGGTTTTAAAGGGAGTCTATCACTACTGGACATATTTTTATTTTTTCCAGGAAGCTTAAGCAAATGGAAGCACTGGGCTCAAAGAGTGGGGCAATCAAATAGTTCGTTGGGTATAGTCATGGCAAGTCAAGCTTTGGGGTTGGCAAGTCCGGGCTACTCCAAGTGGCTGGCTTTCTTCTGGTTCCCTAAACCATCCCAAGAAAAAAGGGGTTCCAGCTTTCGAGATGACTGGCAAGGTCTCGGGCAATTCCTTGCCCACTGAATTACGAACTTAGGCGGATGGCTCCCTTGGCAACCTCTTTTTCCTCGCTCGTAAGGAAACCACAACCCTTCGACCAAGAGCTTCTTTGCCCGAAGGGACCCATGGGATCTGACATGTCGGCAGGTTGAGAGATCAGCGAAGTTGGACTTCTTATGAGCCGCTCGGCAGGGCGAGGGACATGTACGGGGTGGAGGGGGGCCGATTTGCCTGTTAAACCCGGTTTCATAAGTTGCCTCGGCTTGTCCTCAGGCCGGCTTATCCAAAAAATAGGGCCCCTTTGGCCTGTAGCCCTTCTAATTCCTGAACCATGAGATTTGTTCGGTCATTGGCACAGTCTCCTTTCGGGAAGTTTTTCACTTGCCGGTTGGCCCAGTTTTTGGGGCGATGTTTCAGGAAAAACGGAGAGAGCCCTGATTCATGGTGTTCAAAGGCGTTGTGCTCCTTTAGGAGGCACAAAAAGGGCGTTGTTCCTTGGCTTTGTTGGCTGTGCAACACATATGGAGTTCCTCCGATATTGAATTCCTTTTTAAGCTTGAGCAGGACTAAAAGAGAATCTGTATGCGTGTATATATATACACACATGTGTGTGACAAACATGAAACATAGTCTTAAGGCAATCCCGTGAGAACAACCCGGTAGAGCCCAAAGAGTGGATTCTGGGCATCGCTCAATTTCGTTTTGCCTTCTGGGCGTCTTTCGAAAAAGTTCGCCTCGGCCCAGGCCGCGACCCCCTTCCCCACAAAGTTTGTCCGTCCGGCCCCTAGAAACCGCTAAAATCCCCCTCTCAGAGTGGCCACGGTTCGGTTCGGTTCGGTTTCCAGAAACCTAACCTGTTTAATTACGGCTCGGTTCGGTTTCTCATCTGAAATCGGTTCGGTTCGGTTCGGTTACTATGGTATTTTTTCGGTTCACGGATGATTGCACTGTGCCACTTCCAGCCGCGCGCCACACTCTTAGCCTCGGCGTGCCAGCCTCCTGTCTCTATCACAAGGCACTCATTAACACTTTCAGCACCACCTCCACTTTCACAGCCTCACCTCCAGCCTGCCTGCAGCCTCACCAGCCTCGCCTCCAGCCTCACCTCCAGCCTCATTTTCAGCCTCACCTCCAGCCTGCCTGCAGCCTCTCCACCCCCAGCTGCACCTCTCCCCTTCAACCTCACCAGCCTCACTTCCAGCCTTACAACCTCCTCCAGCCAGCCTGCTGCTTGCAGCACCTTCACCTCCAGCCTCACCTCCAGCCTCGCCTGCCTTCCCAGCCTGACCTGCCTTCACCTCCAGCCTCACGTCCCCCTCTTCAGCCTCACCAGCATCACATCACCTTCGCTTTCACCTCCAGCCCCACCACCTTCACCTCCAGCCCCACCACCTTCACCTCCAGCCTCACCTGCCTCCCCTTCAGCCTCACCAGCATCCCCTCCAACCTCACCTCCAGCCTCACCAGCCTCACCTCCAGCTTCACCTTCAGCTCCATCTCCACTCTCACGACCTTCACCTCCAGCCAGCCGTCTGCCCAGCCTCACTTCCAGCCTCACCTCACCAGCCACCTTCACTTTCCAGCCCTCCAGCCTCACCTGCCTCCCCTTCAGCCTCACCAGCATCCCCTCCAGCCTCACCTCCAGCTTCACCTTCAGCTCCACCACCACTCTCACGACCCAGCCGTCTGCAGCCTCGCCAGCCTCACTTCCAGCCTCACCAGCCTCACCTCCAGCCTCATCTCCAGCCTCAGCTCCAGCCTCACTTCCAGCCTCATCTCCAGCCTCACTTCCAGCCTCACCGATTACCTTTAGCCTGCCTCCAGCCTCACCAGCCTCACCTCGAGCCTTTCCAGCCCGACCCACCACTTCACCGCCACCGTCAGTTAGCAGCCATACGCCCAGCTTCACCTCCAGTCTCATCAGCTCAGTCCCGCCAGCAGATACCTTCCCCCAATATGTTGGTTGAGCAAGGGCAAGGGCCTTGAGGTCGCTTTTGGTGGGATGTCTTTTGGTGGCAATGCATCACAGCCTGCCCTGGGCTGCTGAAGTTTAGTTTTGTTTAGCAACCTGGGAGATTGCTTGTACTTGGGCCTACTCCAGAGGGACCACTTATGTCTTTAGACCCTGTCCAGCTAAATGACTGGCTCTCTGGTCAGCATGGCTATGTAAGAGCAAATTGTTAGCATTTTGGCTGAAGTTGCATTCTTGTCTGAGGGAGCCTTGTCTGGCTGCTCGCCAAGCTCTAAACCTAACGATTCGGTTGTTTTCCTCTGGACGGTTCGGTTCGGTTCGGCTTGTGAAAACAACAGTTCGCAGACGGTTCGGTTCGTACGGTTCGGTTCCACGGTTCTCGGTTCGATTCCTGGGTTCTCTGCCCTCTAGAAACCACCAAACACTCCCTAGAAACCGCTAAAATCCCCCCCGGTAGAAAGATTCCGTACATCTTCGCTTGGCCCCAGTCCACTTCTGTGGCTCTCTGACTGCGGCTCTCGTTCTATCTAGCCTTTGAACACTTCAAGGCAAACCAAAACACAAAGCCAGCCAAAAGGATTCTGGCCGAGGCGGGCAACGCGAAGGCGTTTACAATTAGCTTGCAATCATCATTGATTTACGCAGTCGAAGACACTGGCTGCAGATCCTACAAATGAGCCAAGACAACAGGGACCCAATCCCACGTACAACACTTGTAGAACCTGCCATTGTCCTTTTGGTTGTCAAAGGGGATTCCGTTGGTTTCCCGGGTTTTGTGGGAGGGTTGCTGAGTTTCCGGGTGTGATTGGCATGCCACAGTTCGATGTATCTTGAGGTCGGCGCGCACGCAGAAGGTCTCTTAGCCTCCAAAATTCGCGGCTCACACGTTTCACAGCTTGCCAGATGCACAAGCGGAGTGTTGGAAAAAGCGCGTTTTAACGTGGAATCACGCCGAGAGGACCTGTGTAAGCGAGATCTTCGTTCAGACGAGGCTTGGAAGGACACGTTAGGAGCCCTTACATCGCGGAAGTGCGCATGTTTTCAGAGATGAGTCAACCAACACCCCTCAACTTCTTCTTGGACAGATAGGCTTGGGGGGTTTGGACATGCTTAGAAGATATCGAGCAAGCAGGGTCTGTGCATTGATGGGAGGGCATGGTTTTGGTGCCAGATTGTGTACCCTTGAGTTCATGGATTGGTTTGGGGATTGGAACGCCTGATACAGATGCGTCTTTCGTAAAGCTGTGTTTATACTTGTTGCAAATAGTTTGGTTACCTTTGCAACACATCCCATTCAGAGACTTTTTCTAGATTTACAACAGCAGGGCTGCCATTGAGAAGAATACACGGAAATTCTTCTGGGGCGGTTTCCGATGCCTCAGTTGTTCAGTGGCACCTTTTTTCCTGTTTTTTTGTGGCCCCACTAAAATGGTCTTCCCCAAAAAGGGTTCCCTTGTTTTTCTAGGGTCACTGAACAACTGAGATGCAGCTAGGGAAACTGATCTAAAGCGGGACCCCCCCCCCCCCCCCGGGCGCCAATCAATGCGCGCTTCGGCAGGGCGCTCGGGAAGGCGCGCGCTGTGATCGACGCGCGCGATGTGCCGGACGTTGAGCCGTTGTGGGTTTTTGGTTTCTCGGGCGTTTGGAGATGGGTATGGGTCAAGATTAATCCAGGAATTGGACCACAGGTTTTGGTCCATGTTTCCACGGGTTCTATTTGGGTACCTATTTTTGACCCACAGCCATATCTTAGACCCACTCGGGGTGTGGGTCACAACCCAGTAACATGGGGGGGGGGGGTCCCTACTGCCAAAAGACCGATTGTTGACTTCGCGGAGGTAAGGACGGACATCAACCTCTTGACAGGGGCTTTAGACACGCAATGCAATTGGTGTTGACAGGGACCTAGAGAACGAGCTCTAAATGTTCAGCACATGCATTAGGGGAACTGCAAAAGAAGATGACACTGGCTCGTCTGCTTTCAGCTGAATGAGGGTTGCAGGCCCCCTGTCTAAGGCCTCCCTCGGTAAGCCCATTTGGGTTGGTGTTGGTGTTTTTTCTCCGGGAGCCCACGTCAGGGCTGAAAGTGAAGCCAAAGGGCAAACCACAGTTTTGGGGCCCCCTCTATTTTGACTCGTACGGGTTTTGGTAGGACTGAGGGAGGTCGGTTTACAGAAAAGCCAGCAACCATTTTTAGGTCCAAATTTGGCGCAAGACACGCGAGAGTCATAGGATCCCCTTGCCCTGGTGGACAGAGAACAAGAAACGCACACACACACACCCACCCACCCACCCACCCACCCACCCACCCACCCACGCACGCACGCCCGCCCGCCCGCCGCCCGCCCGCCCGCCCGCCCGCCCGCCCGCCCGCCCGCCCCCGCCCGCCCGCCCG